GCTATGTTGGCCAATCAGATGAAAGTATTTCAAATTGTATATGGAAACAACACACTGTACCCCATGAAGTGTTAATGCACATAACTATGAGTTAATAAAAAAAAAAGAAAGTTGCAGGTTTGAATTTGGAGAATAGAAACATTATTGAGTTACTGAATTGGAATATTCTCATCAGCTAGGGTATTTTTTTTTAAATATTCTTGTGTGTTGTAGCACAGGAAGAAGCTGTAACACAGTGGACCGAGAATTTCCCAAGAGAAGACTTTGCCCACCACCTGGGGTCTGGAGGCAGAGGGATGAATAGGCCGAGAAATTAACACACAGTTTCTGTGGAAAAGTCTGCTGATGCCCAGAGAGATGGTCTCCTATCAACCTGTAGCAAGGCAGATTGGTGCCACCCTGAACTGATTTCTCAAGAGGTTTTTTGTTTGTTTTTTGGGGGGGAGGGACAGAGTCTCACTTTCTTGTCCCCAGTAGAGTACTGTGGCATCATAGCTCATAGCAACCTCAAACTCTTGAGCTCAAGTGATCCATTGCATCAGTCTCTCAAGTAGCTAGGATTACAGGTGCCTGCCACAATACCTGGCTTTTTTTTTTTTTTAAGAGACGGGTCTGCTTTGGCTCAGGCTGATCTGAAACTGGTAAGCTCAAGCCATCCACCCTCCTCAGCCTCCCAGAGTGCTGGCATTACAGGCATGAGCCACCTCACCTGGCCAAGAGGTTTTATTAAGATTAAGTAAATGAGGTGATAACTATGTTAATTAGTAGGATGTAAGCACTCCAATTTGTACAAATAATCAACACATTGAATCCCACAAAGGCATAAGTGTATTCATGATCTAAGTATATATGACTAAATTTAAAAAAAATTTTTTTAAAAAGATTTTTAGGGTGTGTTTTTCCAGAATGAAGAAGTAAAGAGTTAATAGTCTCATGACTCAGTCATGTAGGTGGTCATTTGATTAAGAAAAAGGTTATAGAGTAGAGGCACTAAATCATAGAATAATTCTCAAGGGCGGAACTAAGCAGGTAACAAAGTTGCCTTAGGGCAGTGGTTCTCAACCTTCCTAATGCCAAGGCCCTTTAATACAGTTCCTGTGGGTTGAGACCCACAGGTTAAGAACTGCTGCATTAAGGGATGGGAGAGAAATACTTATGGTTCCAGCCTTCAGGCTAGATTGTCTGGGCTCAAGGGTAATCTTTAATCCTCTTCTAACTCTGCTAATATCCTGTTTCCACTAAGCTGCTGAATGTTATACTCAGATGTTCCCAAACTAGTTTTCTATCTATGTGGGAGAACATTCTGACCTGCCTCAACACCATAGCTGTGCTGTGCAGCAAGGGGCTGAGGCCCAAAGCCATTCCCTCCTGAGTCCTCTGGAATGTCCTTTTGCAATATATTTCTACCCATATTCTTGAAAGTACAGGCTTTATTCCTTTTAGCAGATTTGTCTTGTTACCATTACTGGACTGTCCCCAGAAAGTACTAATTTTTAATTTGTGGCTGAGAAGCCTGAGGAATCTAGAAACTTTCTTTTTATTTCACTGCAGTTTGTAATGTGAGAACCAGACCAACGCCATCTTGGGGCACCGCCATTTTATTGTTTACTGCTTAAGCTATATTCCTCGCTCCTCCAACCCCCTCTCTGCTGGTAGCCCACAAAACCACATCCTGCTGCCTTCTCTGCCCCTGGTGCAAGTAGCTTGCTTGCAACCGTTGCTCAAATCACCTGCAAGCTGCCAAAGGCCTCAGTTACCCCTAGGCCAATCAAGCCACACCAAGTGGACCCCCATATACCCCACCAATCAGAGAGTGACAATACCCTAACCCCCCCTTGCCTTCTGTATCCCATAAAATCCCCCACCATCTTAGGGTCGGGCCGCTCTATCTCCTGCTGCGTCAGGTGTGGACGGCCCAGACCTGAGTCTGCAATAAAGTGCCTCTTGCTAGTTGCATCGGAATCGGTCTCTGAGTATACTGTGGGGAAAATCCCAAATTCCGGGCATAACAGTAATACATGTGAAAAACAACACTAAAGACTGATCTGTATTTAGATGTTACCTTAAGCCTCTATCAAGAAGGGTTGATCACATCAGAGTTGGGTACAATGAGATATTGGTAACAATATTTTTCCATAGAGTATTCAGAAGTTATAACATGTAAGTATATAAGTATACCTTCTTAAGATATAAGAAGTCATTAAATATCTTCATATTAGGTGTTCATAAGTGCTAAACATAGGACAAATCAGAATGAAGAGTCATGCTTAAGAAGTTAAACATCAATGAAAATCATCATTAAGGAAAGGAAAGCCAGGTGCTGGCAGGGTTTAGATTAGAGCAGCATTTCAAAATTATAGGAAGTGCAGGCAATAAAATAATTTTATAGGTTACTAGTGATATAGCTGGTGTAACTGATATTTGTAATTGTAATTGTAATTTTTTATTATGGGATTATGTAAGTTAAAGAAGACATAAAGATGGTATCTTATAGGATAGTGAGAAAATTATAAGAAAATAATGTGTATAGTAAAAATTGGCCATTGACTTGGAAGAAAATAAAAGAATACTGTGGAGAAGAATCAATGAATAATTTGATTTAATTTAGACATTTATTTCATATATTTACTGCTACATTCCATGAGGAAACATCTTATTTTGATGTTATGACAATTCAGTAAGTAAAAAACACATTTCTTTAGAAAAAAATACTTCTAAGCTCAGGCTTTTAACATATAAATGTAATGCACAAAATAAGTATACTGCAGAAAACCCACTACCCACAAATTGCGTATGCATCATTTCTGAAACACTTGACATTTATCTAAGTGCATCTTTACGATGGCTGTGTTGTTTGCAGCTCTAGTTAACAAAATCTTATTTTGTGAAATGCCAAGAGTAAGTATTTTATACTATGTGGGTCACATGGTATCTGCCACAGCTACTCAATCTTGCAAGAGTAGTATGAAGACAGCCACAGGCAAAACACAAACAAATGGTTTCTGTATTAGTGTTCTCAAAACTTTATAGACACTGAAATTTGACTAACAATTTCCATATATCATAAAATATTCTTTGACCTTTTTCAACCACTTAGAAATATAAAACCACTCTTACCTTGCAAGCTACAGAAATGAGCAATGGGTCAGATCTGTCTGATGACTGTAGTTTGCCAACCCCTGACTTAGCTTTGTCAGGATCTGCCCATAAATGACTTATGGGAAAATGAACAACCAAACTAAATCAAGGCACTGGCAACAATATGGTGGGGGATGAATTTGAGTAGCCAGCTTTTTTATCCCCCAGCATAATTCAGGAAATACAAATTATAATGACAATAATATCTAACATACTTTCTTGTATCTCAGACACTATCCTAAGTGCTTTAAAAATAGTTAACTCATTTGGATTTCAAAACAATCCTAAGTTGTTACAATCACTATTCTTACAGAAAAAGAACTGAGGCACAGAGAAGTGAGGTGGCATGTCCTGGGCAGGAATCCGGGCCTGGTGGCAGAACTCTAGAGTCCACACCCTTGACTATACCATGTTACTTCTATTGGGAAGAAAAAGGTAGTGAAGAACATTTAGGACTCCCAGACAAAATACAAACACAGATAGCTCTGCATCCTACTAGAACATCAACTCTATGACAAATAATATTTCTTACATGGCATTATTCTACTTCATTGTGTAGACTATAATAAATATTAATGTTTCAGTTGCTTTAAAAATAGCTCAGGCTTTTGCTATAAGTAAATGCAAAATTTGGTTGACCATAAGACAGTTGAAAATTTTACAAAAACATGTTAGCTTCTTTTTGAAGCATTAGTTTAGTAACAATGTCTATATCCCATTTACAAATGCCAGAGAACAGGATAAAAAGATACATTATAATTAAAAAAGAATATTACATTAACAATACATATATTAACAACAAAAGTCTCTACTGAGACTTAATGTGAGACATCTTCATACACAAAAGTTTTTGGACTAAGGTTATGTATTTCCCTAATGACAATTATGGATGGGGTTCACATGCATGTCAAGCATCCACAAGTTATGTTTTGTAGCACACTCACATACACAAAGTCCTGCATACTAAAGGACTCAGTATGTGTTTAATGATGTTGACTGATTATTGTGTTTGTGCTTTTAAAAAGCTTCATATATGTAGACATCTAAAGGTTTCTACATATATGTAGAACTAGTATAATTATTTATAATTATAACTAGTATAATTATTTCCCATGTTCAAATTCTTTGAATTCCTATTTAAAATTTCTCAAATATTGGCTCGGCGCCCGTAGCTCAGTGGCTAGGGTACCAGCCACATACACCGGCACTGGTGGGTTTGAACCCAGCCTGGGCCCGCCAAACAACAATGACAACTACAACCAAAAAATAGCCTGGCATTGTGGTGGGCGCCTGTAGTCCCAGCTATCAGGGAGGCTGAGGGAAGAGAATTGCTTGCTGTGGGCTGTGACACCTCAGTACTCTACCAAGGGCAACATAGTGATACTCTGTCTCAAAGAGAAAAAAAAAATCTTTCAAATATTTAGAGTACTACTAATCTGACATTCAATGAAATATTAATTTTTGATAAGGGCTTCTACATCTGTCACAATCTTTACAATAATCTCCTCTGAATTCTCTGATATAAGAGCTCCACTTAAAGAGATTTCTGAATACTCAGATTAGGCTTGGCACCTGTAGCTCACCAGCTAGGGCACCAGCCACATATATCAGGGCTGGTGGGTTTGAACCTGCCCTGGGCCTGCCAAACAACGACAACAACTACAACAAAGAAATAGTTGGGTGTTGTGGTGAGTGCCTGTAGTCCCAGCTACTTGGGAGGCTGGGGTAAGAGAACTGCTTAAGCCCAAGAGTTTGAGTTTGCTGTGGGCTGTGACTCCACAGCACTCTATCTAGGGCAACACAATGAGACTCTGTCTCAAAAAATAAATAAATAAATAAATAAAATGAATACAGGAGTTTCTCACTCATGTGACCTTCTGAATGTCTACTGCTAACTACCCTGACAGAAATTTCTTGACATTCATTTTACTTGCAGGATTTCTCTCCTGTGTAATTTCTATGTTATAAAACTGTAAGTATGACTTCTAAAAGAAAAGTTCCCCTCATGTTTTACAATTTGTATAATTTCAGCCACCTATGCTATCTGGTATTTAGTAAAGTCCACCATATGGTAAAAATTTCTCTGTAAATGTACAGAATTTCCATGGATTTGTTACATGGATACACTGTGAGGAAAGATTATGGCTAAAGAGTTAACCATAGCGATGATTATCTCTAGGAATTCACACTTCAGTATCATTATAAATGAACCTTATGAATGTCACTCATTGAAATTCATAAAGTTTCCCTCATATGAATTCTCTGATTATTCTGAAGGATGCAATTCACACAGCAGGATTTCTCAGCTTACACTATTTATCAGTTTTTCCCTTCTTTGTGTGTGTCTTCTGATGTGCATTGAGTTGTGACTTTTGAATAAAGGTTTCCCCACACTCCTGACACTCATAGGGTTTCTCCCCTGTGTGTTTTCTCTGATGTATGATAAAATGTGACTTCTGAGAAAAGGATTTCCCACATTCCTTGCATTTGTAAGGTTTCTCTCCTGTGTGGGTCCTTTGATGTAATCTGAGGACTGAATTCACAGAGAAAGATTTACCACATTCTGTACATTCATAGGGCTTCTCCCCTGTGTGTTTTCTCTGATGTTTAGTGAGGTCTGATTTATAGTAAAAGTTTTTCCCACATTTATTACACTCAAAGGGTTTCTCTCCTGTGTGAGTTCGCTGATGTACTGTGAGAGCTGACTTCTGGTAAAAGCATTTTCCACATTCCTTACATTCATAGGGTTTCTCTCCTGTGTGAGTTCTCTGATGGGTTTTGAGATGTGAATTCCTAGAGAAGAATTTCCCACATTCCTTACACTTATAGGGTTTCTCACCTGTGTGTGTTCTCTGATGTACTGTAAGGTGTGACTTCTGGGAAAAAGCTTTCCCACATTCATTACACTCAAAGGGTTTCTCACCCGTGTGTGTTTTCTGATGTACCATGAGGTATGCCTTCACATAGAAGAACTTCCCACATTCAGTGCATTCAAAGGGTTTCTCTCCTGTATGTGTTTTCTGATGTTCAACAAGATGTGGCTTCTGGTAGAAGGATTTCTCACATTGATTACATTCATAGGGTTTCTCCCCTGCATGGGTTCTCAGATGTCTACTAAGAGATGACAGGTGGTAGAAAATTTTATTACATTCTTTACACTCATAGGTTTTCTCTCTGGTGTGAATTTTCTGATGTTTTGTGAGGTCTTCATTTTTAGAGAAAGATTTTTCACATTTATCACAGTCATAGGATTTGTTCTTTGAATGAGTATGCTGATGTACTATGAGGGCAGACTTCTGGCCGAAGAACTTTCCACACTGCTTACATTCATAGCCTTTCTCTCCAGTATGAGTTTTCTGATGTTTTGTGAGTTCTCCATTCCTAGATCAAAAGTCATAAATTCATTAGTGTATGAGGCTTTTAAGGCTTCCCCCCCTCTACTGTGTGTTAACTCTAAAAACTGATTTCTAGAGATGTTCCCATATTCATTAGACCCACAGATCATCACTGGGATCATGCTCTGACATATACTGTAGTTTAACATTTGATGGGATGAACCTCACCTGCATTCTATTTACAGGGTCTCTCCACTGCCTGTGTTCTATTTTGTGTAGTAAAGCCTCCCTTATTATGTAATTCAGAAGAGTCAAAAGACTACTTCAAAGTTTGAATCTCCTAATCCTGAATGAGTTCTCTATGAAAAAGGGCATTCTTGGGTGGCACCTGTAGCTCAAAGGAGTAGGGCGCTAGCCCCATGTGCTGGAGGTGGTAGGTTCAAATCCAGCCCCGGCCAAAAAAAAAAAAAAAGAAAGAAAAAGGGCATTCCCATTTGGATTCTACTCTCTGGGATTTGCTCTAGTGTTAGGTAACCTGTGCTCTGTTATTTACAGCAACTACAAGATTCTTTTTTACAAAGTTTCTTAAACATTAATTCTTGAACTTACTTTGAATTTCCAGCTTGGCTTTCCTGATTTCTTGCTCCTTGGGCAGGAACATTACGTAGGTCTTCTATAAAGAAATCCAAAAATTTAATACTTAATAAATCTTAATTATTATGGTTACAGGGTCATTATTATGGTTACAGGGTTGAATCTTAGGCTTCATGCCAATCTCTCAAAATGAAAGAATTCTCAAATTCAAATTTCCTTTCTCCCATTGTTTTAGGAAAAACAGTAAAATACACGGTAGTGGACAGAGGAAGGAACCTGGTTAAAATCCCAAGTACTCTGACATTGTTACAAATGTGAGCTTAAAAATTTGGAAGAGAAAGTTAAGACAAAAAAACAAAAAATAGGAAGTAGGGAACAAAAGATATTTAAAGTATTGCTGGATGTGAATGCAAGAATCAGAGAGAATGCTGTGAGCCCTTTAAGGATGATGAATAGGAAGTAGGATGAGAAAAAACTGTGTTCACTGGAAATATCAGGGAAAAGATTAAATTAGCTGAAGGAGCTAATGTATAGGCCTTATCCCCTCAAACCTAGATTACTGGGTTAGGATTCTTAGTAGTTATCAAACTGTAAGTTTCAACTTTATTTCCCCCTTATCCATCTGCAACAATCTAGATGTCAACACTAAAGTGGCTTTCTCAGGACATCAGTGTCCTCATACTCAAAGGAATAGTGTATACCTTGGGCTTTAACGCTCCATCTAGTTGGCTTAATTTTCAATAAGACTGGAAGGCCCAGGAGTATTTACATCCAAGGGGAAGGATTTTATAAAAAGTGGAGGGCAAGCCATCAATGCAAGGATGAATTCCCAGTTGTATCACCAGAGATGTTCAATCCTGAACTTATGACTCAGGACTGGCCTTGAATTCTGCTTTTATATCTTGTCTCCTACATGTCTGCTTCCTATCTAGGATATGATCTTTAAAGATAGGATTTTTCAACATCATTCTAGAACCTCTATTGACCTTAATATTTATTTATCTTTAAATGCACAGAAGCAAGGGAAAGACTATAAGCAGAGGACTAGGGTTGGAATTTCAGAGCATTTGGGGGTAACACATGGACAAGTCATTTTATAGGGGCTTGTATAACTTAAATACATGTGAAATAAGATCCTATGTATGGAAAACATTTAAGAGGATAGTAAAATGGAAGTTAACACATGTTTCGGGGCCATAAGGAGGAATAAGATGCAGTAGACAAGAGAGGGCCAGACTAGTTTTTGACAGAAAATTAATTTAAATGTCTATTGTAATGCTGAGTCTGTATAAGTTTACCATGACAAGCTAGTGACAATATAAGTTTACCACATTACATAAAAACTATAAGAATTTAAATCAAGAATTTGTTTTTGAGGCCAGGCACAGTGGCTCATGCCTATAATCATAGCACTCTGGGAGGCTGAGTGGGGAGGATCACCTGACCTCAGGAATTCAAGACCAGCCTGAGAAAGAGTGAGACCTGTCTCTAACTAAAAATTAAAAAAAATATATTTGGATGTGGGGGTGCATACCTGTAGTCCCAGATACACAGGATGCTGAGGCAGGAGGATAGCTTGAGGCCAGGAATTGAAAGTTGCAGTGAGCTATAATGATACCACTGAACTCTACAAGGGTGACAGAGTAAGTCTGTGCTCCTCACAGAAGTAATTTTTTTGAGTCTAAGAAGGAAGCAAGTGGACCCAGTGTAACTATCTTTTAAGAAGGTAAAATATGGAATCTAGGAGCAAGATAGCGGCCGAGTAACAGCTTCCTTGCAACTGGGCATGGTGAGTATGGGGAGAGAAGACTCCAAGCATCTCTGGCTGGTGGGATCTGTCCAGAAACATCCCTTTTGGGACACAGAGAGTCAGCGAGAGACTTCTGGACCCCATGAGGAGGACAAAAGCAGTAGAGAACTGGCAAGTGTTTGCATGTGTTTGTTCAGTCTAATCCCGCTGGCAGTTGTAAGTACAGCAGCAGTGAGATTGCAAACTGGAAAGGCCTTACCTGTAAGCTGTTTTTGTTTCTTTTGGACTTGGCACTCAGTTGAACTACCTTGGGAGAAACTGGGCAAGAGAGCAGAGGACTTTAAGCATTGTCTAGGGCCCCAGACTGAGCCACTGAGCCAGACGGAGCTAATAGTGTTTAGCTGTGGCCACATGGAGCCATTGTGGGAGAACTGCTCTGGCAAGCTCTGCCCTCAGGGTCACAGAGCAAGGATCAGGCGGGAATGAGTAATCCAGTGAGTGAGCAGCCTAAAGGTGGGGACTGAGATACCTTATAGCCTTGGCCCTCAGAGGCATAGAGTGAGACTGGTTTTGGCACACTGGGTAAGTGGATAGCCACTTGAGGAGTGATCCCAGCAACAAGTGCTTTCCTGGGAAAGCTTCTGCTTGTTTAAAGTGCCTTTTAAGTGGGCTTAGGAGAGACTTAGGCTCTCTTCACCCTGCTGGGTTTGAGAAATCAGCAGAGACCTCCAATCTCCACCTTGTACAGCTGTTATCAACATTATGATTAACATCTTATACCCCAAAAGATCACCTGTTGCCCAGACAATATTCAGCAAGATATTTATACTGCTTTTTTGTTTGTTTGTTTGTTTTTTGAAACAGAGTCTCACTTTGTCCCCCTTGGTAAAGTGCTGTGGTGTCACAGCTCACAGCAACCTCCAACTCTTTGGCTTAAGCAATTCTCTTGCCTCAGCCTCCTGAGTGGCTGGGAGTACAGGCACCTACCAAAACACCCAACTATGTTTTGTTGCAATTGTCATTGCTATTTCAGCTGGCTGGGGCCGGGTTCAAACCCGCCACCCTCAGTATATGGTGCTAGCGCCCCACCCACTGAGCCACAGGTGCCACCCTGTTTTATTTTTTCTTGTTTTTTTTTTTATTTCAACATTTTCCCATAGATTTTTCTTCTCTTTTTCTTTCTTTTTTCTTCATTTTTCTAGTTTAAATATAATTTTCCATTGTTGTATTTTTTAACAATTAGAACTGCATTTTTGCTAGTGTTTCTACCCCTATTATTTGTTTTTTTCCCCAATTTTATCCCATAAAGTTTTCTGTTTGCTTGTTTTAGTTTGATTTACAGCAATTTTGTCTTTCCTCTCTACTTGGTAGAGATGGGGTACTGTGTGTGAACAGGATAGCAAAGAGCTCTTCACCTCAAGGGAACCACCCAACCCGGCACCCCCAAAGGTTGGGTCAAAATACCCTACTGTACACCTATATTGCTCCTGTCTCCGTCTTTCTGTGCCTCTCTTCTTTTTGTCAATATTCCCTTTTACCTACCCCCTCTCCTTTCTCTTTTTTCTTTTCTTTTCTTTTTCATTCTTTTTTCCCTTCTTCCTCTTCAATATTCTCATCCTTCTGGTCCTGTACAAAGGGCTCATCAAAACCCTAGTCCACAGGCATAGTAACTTAAAGAGCAAGAGGAAGTGAAATGAAAATTAGGACAAGGAAACAGATAAAAGAAATCACTCATGAGGAAGAATCAGCAGAAAAAATCCTGGCAACATGAAAAACCAGTCCAAAGCAATCCCCCCAGGGGACCATGAGGTAGCTACCACAGAGGACTCCACCTATAAAGAAATGGTAGAAATGACAGAAGAGGAATTTAGAATACAGATGATGAAAACAATGAAGGAAATGATGGAAACAATGAAGGAAACTGCTGATAAAGTGGAAAATAACCAAAAGGAAATCCAAAAACAGAATCAAATAAAAGATGAACAATATGAAGAATATAGAAAGGACATAGCAGAGCTGAAGAACTTAAACAGTCAATTAGGGAACTTAAAGATCAATAGAAAGTATCAACAACAGATTAGACCATGCAGAAGAAAGAATCTCAGAGGTAGAGTACAAAGCTCTTGAGATAACTCAGATAGTTAAAGAGGCAGAAAAGCAGAGAGAGACAGCAGAACATTCACTGACAGAATTATGGGACTTTATGAAGTATTCAAACATATGAGTTATAGGTATCCCAGAAGGGGAAGAAGAATGCCCCAGGGGAATGGAAGCCATATTAGAGAATACTATAAATGAAAATTTCCCAAATATCACCAAAGATTCTGACACACTCCTTTCAGAGGGATATCAGACCCCAGGTTGCCTCAACTCTAACCAAGCTTCTCCAAGACACATTGTGATGAACCTTTCCAAAGTCAAGACAAAAGAAAAGATTCTTCAAGCTGCCAGGAGTAAGTACCAGATGACCTACAGGGGCAAATTCATCAGAGTGACTACAGACTTCTCTAATGAGACTTTTCAAGCAAGAAGACAATGGTCATCTACCTTTAATCTACTTAAACATAAAAATTTCCAGCCCAGAATTCTATATCCTGCTAAGCTAAGGTTTAAAATTGTTGGAGAAATCAAATCATTTACTGATACACAAACATTGAGGAAATTCGCCACAACAAGACCAGCTCTACAGGGAATACTTCAACCTATTCTACACACTGACCATCACAATGGATCAACAGCAAAGTAAGAACTCAGAAATTAAAGGGCAGAACCTAACTTCCACACTGATGCAAAAGATAAAACTAAGCAATGGACTCTCACAAAATAAGATAAATAGCATATGTATACCACGGAATACTACGCAGCCATAAAGAAAGATGGAGACTTTACCTCCTTCATGTTTACATGGATGGAGCTAGAAAATATTGTTCTCAGCAAAGTATCTCAAGAATGGAAGAAAAAGTATCCAATATACTCACCCCTATTATGAAAATAATTGTTAACTATCATAGGAAAGCTATAAT